GGTGAATGCCGTTACAAGTACAAGTAAGTAAGTGGGCTTGGCACATTTGTGAACAGTGAGTATGGAGGGGGAGGGGTGTCAACCGATCAACAGCCAAGGAATTCGTGCAGGCGAATTCTATGCTAGCTCGGTTAGAGCCTGGAATTAGTTCAGATACTAATTTCGATGTAGCCTCAGCACTTACTTCAAAATAACATACCTGAAAGGAAGGCGTAGCAAACACAAATTTAGTACGTCGAACCCAGTAAACAATCAGGGAGTCCTCTAAAACACACTAATATTATCCAAACAAGCATATCAGCCGTATGAAGTTCAAGAAACGTCTCTTATTACAGCGTATTACAGTCAACGCCGTTAACACCTTTACCATCAAATATACCGGAGCCTAAGAAATGCGGAATATCCTTGATATCATGAAGGGCTACGTTTTTATCAACGATCCTAAAGTACGGTTGCAATTTTAAGTGTTTTTCGACGAGTAAGACCTCGTGTAATAGTCTTAAAGTAAAGTTAGCAAATAAGGGAATGCAAGCAAGCAGATATGCAAGTTATAGAAAGTGGTAAATATGTTGCAAAAAGGTAAAAACTACTAGGCGATATGCGCAATACATGTGGTTTATGGTATGCATACCTGTCGGGGCGATGAAGTACAAACATGCATGCACGCGCTTGTCAGGAATGGATACAGAATTCCTAGAAACACGGCCTTCAGCAGCCAAATATTCATCAAATCGAGCATCTATAAAGTCCAAAATTGGCTGCCAGCATTCGCTATTGTTTACTGAGTCTCCGAAACCCGGAGTATCAATAACTGTTAACTTCAGCGAGACGCCATTCTCCTACATTCAATGTAACGCAACAAGAGACAGCCAACCTTTAATAATACGGAAGAAGACCGGACCTCGACAGCGTGTTTTGCTTTGCATGAGGGACCTGGATTTTCCCCGTTGTAGACATCGGTAAGAAATAGTGAGTTGATAAATGTAGATTTTCCGAGACCGGTCTCGCCGACAACCATCAAATTGAATTCGAAGCCTTTGCGGACAGCTCTCCTAAAAATCTGCAAAATAAGTAATGTAAGATGAGGTAAACCTGGTTGGGAATGTTAGAATAGCCCACATATGCATCAGGAATCGCTGGATTTGATCCATTTACTAATTCAGCGCCATTTGGTATATTTTCCTGATCGTATTTTGCATCTTTTCCACTAATTAAATCACGGGTAGCTGATTTAATTCCGTCATAATGGGGAGTTCCGTCCTTTGAAACGTAAGGGACACGTCTAGTCTGCGTACTGTGCATTAGCTTCGAAGTTTGAAACAGAGAAGAACAGAAAACCGAACAAAAGTGGAATCCGACTATTAAACATACAAAAGCAGCATATACAGCTACCGCGTTGTTTAAAGTGTCATTGTCTTTAACTGACCAGTGGTCAGAAATATAAGCATAGAAATTATCCACAAGTCCAAAGACTAACGTATGTGTTGTTGCTTTTTCACTAGCAGCTGCAAAGGAATAAATTAAGTAAACCACTATGAAAACTGAAATATTTTTAAATACCCATTTCGGGCTCCATTTAACGTATAAGTCAAGTCAAATTTATTAAAGGAAATATAGGCAAACGCCTTTGAACT